GCAGTATGTCATCTTGAGCCACTTGGTTCTGGGCCTGTTTGCCACATCTGCAAAATGGAAACAAGGGAGTTTGTTTGATTATGTGGCTGTGAAGATAAATGACTTAAGGCCAGGGTGTTTCATCTTTTGGCTTCCCTGGGCCACATTGAAAGAATTATTTTGGGCCGCACCTGAAAGACATTGACACTAATAATAGCTTATGAGCTTAAAAAATATTGTAAAACTATCTCATAATGCTTTAAGAAGCTTATGAATTTGTGTTGGGCTGAATTCAAAGCTGGTTGGGGCCTGGGTCGGACAAGCTTGCCTTAAAGTCTAAGAGTATGAAGTTGTATGTTTTTGTTCTTGCTTGGAGAGGGTGGTGGTGGTTAATTTTGGCCTCTAAAAAGTAGAATGGAGGCCGGGCGCGGTGGCTCAAGCCTGTAATCCCAGCACTTTGGGAGGCCGAGGCGGGTGGATCACGAGGTCAAGAGATCAAGACCATCCTGGTCAACATAGTGAAACCCCGTCTCTACTGAAAATACAAAAAATGAGCTGGGCATGGTGGCGCGTGCCTGTAATCCCAGCTACTCAGGAGGCTGAGGCAGGAGAATTACCTGAACCCAGGAGGCGGAGGTTGTGGTGAGCTGAGATCGTGCCATTGCACTCCAGCCTGGGTAACAAGAGCGAAACTCCGTCTCAAAAAAAAAAAAAAATGTAGAATGGAGTGGTTAATGTTTTTTGCATGAGCTTTATTGTTTGTTTGTTTTTTTTGGCAGTCTTGCTCCATTGCCCAGGCTGGAGTGCAGTGATGTGATCTCTGCTCACTGCAATCTCCATGTCCTGGGTTCAAGTGATTCTCCTGTCTCAGCCTCCTGAGTAGCTGGGATTACAGGCACCCACCACTGTACCTAGCAAATTTTTATGTTTTTAGTAAAGACAGGGTTTCACCATGTTGGCCTGGATAGTCTCGAACTCCTAAACTCAAGTAATCCATCCAACTCAGCCTCCCAAAGTGCTGAGATTACAGGTATGAGCAAGCATGCCCGGCCTGGTTCTGCTCTATTTCTGGAGGCTATAAAGCATTCATCTTTTCTGCACCCTAATTTATTTAACCAAAATCTTACTGATGGACCAAGGTGCATTCATTTTTGTTGTTGTTTGTTAACATGAGAAATACTACAAGCAATATCCTCGAAGTATATCAAGGAAATTCCTAAAAAAGGAATTGCTTCTGGGTGCGGTGGCTCACGCTTGTAATCCCAGCACTTTGGGAGGCTGAAGCGGGCAGATCGCGAGGTCAAGAGATCGAGACCATCCTGGTCAACATGGTGAAACCCCGTCTCTACTAAAAATACAAAAATTAGCTGGACGTGGTGGCGTGTACCTGTAGTCCCAGCTACTGGGGAGGCTGAGGCAGGAGAATTGCTTGAACCCGGGAGGCAGGCGGAGGTTGCAGTGAGCCGAGATTGCACCATTGCACTCCAGCTGCCGCTCAAAAAAAAGGAATTGCTAGGTCAAAGGAAATTGTACTAAAATCAAGATGTTGCCAGATGACTCCCTGAAAGAGCTGTATCCATGTATATACTCCTACCAATAGTACTTCCTTCCCTAACAAGAGAAACTGTTTCACTTAACATTCTCGAAACATAATTATCAGAATTACTCTTCTGGAATGATTGCCCCTGACACTCCTACTAGCAGTGATTTCCAGTCTTGGGAAATCGTACAGACAGATACTGTTTTATCTGAGAGTTGGTGGTTCCCAGGTAAATAGTTGCCAGTGTCCTGGAAATTGAGGAACATTTTCAACTTGATCATTGAAATGAGGCCGACTGGCAGCAGTATTGGGGCTGTGAGAAAGGAGAGTTTGTGTTGTGCCAGCTCCTGGAACTCTACCTGGAAGTGGCAGCATCGTACTGCATCCTAATACTTTCAGAGCAACTTCTGGAAGTCCCAGAAATAGGGCAGGAATGGGTGGTCTACTCCCACCCCTTTCTAACCAAGGCAGCCTCTTTCCTGTCTCACTTTAAGGTTTCTGTGAGGGGAAAGATAGTTGACATCCTAACAAGAAATATGCTCAGAAATGTACAAATAAAGCCTTCCATTAGAGGATGTGGGAACTGCATCCCTGGGTTTTAAATATGGGCTCTGCAGTTTACTTAATGTGTTGCCTTGGGCAAGTTAATGTCTTCTGTGCCTCAGTTTCCCCCTCTGTCAAATAGGACAATAGTTTCTATTTCAGAGTTGTTAATATAATAACATAAATTGTTTAGAATCACACCTGGCACATACAAAGTAAGTGCTCAAAAGTTATGTCAGGCTGGGCGCGGTGGCTCACGCCTGTCATCCCAGCACTTTGGGAGGCCGAGGTGGGTGGATCACGAGGTCAAGAGATCGAGACCATCCTGGTCAACATGGTGAAACCCCGTCTCTACTAAAAATACAAAAATTAGCTGGGCATGGTGGCGCGTGCCTGTAATCCCAGCTACTCGGGAGGCTGAGGCAGGAGAATTGCCTGAACCCAGGAGGCGGAGGTTGTGGTGAGCCGAGATCACGCCATTGCACTCCAGCCTGGGTAACAAGAGCGAAACTCCGTCTCAAAAAAAAAAAAAAAAAAAAAGTTATGTCAGTAATTTTGTGTGTGTGGCACAAGTCACACTATTTCTGCGTCTGTTTTTCTCTTCCTACCTTCCTACCTTCCTTCTTGTCTTTCTGTCTTTCCTTCTTTCTTTCCGCTCCTTCCTTCCTTCTGTCTTTCCTTCCTCTCTTTCCTTCTCTCTCCTTCCTTCTCCTCTCTTCTCTTCTTTCTTTCTTTCGAGTTTCGCTCCTGTTGCCCGGGCTGGAGTGCAATGGTATGATCTCGGCTCACTGCAACCTCCGCCTCCTGGGTTCAAGTGATTCTCCTGTGGCAGCCTCCCTAGTATATGGGACTACAGGCATGCGCTACCATGCCTGGCTAATTTTTTATTTTTAGTAGAGACTGAAAGTAGAAAATTTCGTTTCTCCAGGTTGTCAGGCAGGTTTTGAACTCCTGACTTCAGGTGATCTGCCCGCCTCGGCCTCCCAAAGTGCTGGGAGTACAGGGGTGAGCCACCGGGCCTGGCCTTTTTCTCATCTTTAAACAGAGCTGATTTTTAATAGGATTAACTGATTTTAGTGTGGGCATCTGTGGGTACAAAATCTTTATGGGGGTTCATCTTTTCACCATTGGGTCTTCAACCCCTGCTTTGCACACAGTAGGAGGTAAGTATTGTTTAATGAGAGGCATTGAACTGTTTGATTCTAAGGCGTCGTTCTCAGCAGTCCTGGTTGCATTAATAAATCCAGGCATCTACTTGGATTATCATCTCATGATTATGCGTGCTCAGTAAGCATTCTCAGGGGTGCGCCCACTGTCTCTGACCTCCTATTGATAGGTGTGGCTAGGTTGGCCCTGGCCAGCTTGCTTAACTCTGGCAGGCGGAACCTCCCATGGCTAGGGTCTCCCCCACCGAGCCACCTCCAGCCTACACATACCTTGCAAGACTTCATATTGTGACCCAGTCTGAAATAAGTAAAGATTCGATCAGTTTGTTAAGGCCATGCTTCCAGATCAGTCCCTCCTGTGCTATCAAAAGCCTAGGGTTTTAGCAGGGCGCGGTGGCTCACTCCTGTAATCCCAGCACTTTGGGAGGCTGAGGCAAGCGGATCACTTGAACCTCGGAGTTCGAGACCAGCCTGGCCAACATGGTGAAACCCCACCTCTACTAAAAATACAAAAATCAGCCAGGCCTGGTGGCGCATGCCTCTAATCCCAGCTACTTAGGAGGCTGAGGCATGCGAATAGCTTCAACCCGGGAAGCGGTAGTCACAGTGAGCCAAGATTGAGCCACTGTACTCCAGCCCTTCCTGGCCTTTTCCTTGTGCATTTGTGCTTTCTTTTTTTCTTCCCCCCGCCCCCCCTTCTATACAGGATCTCACGCTGTCACCCAGGTTGGAGTGGCTTGACCTCCCAGGTACAAGCGATTCTCCGGCCTCAGGCTGCTGAGTAGCTTGAACCACACAGGCACACTGCCATGCCCAGCTATTTTTATCTTCTTATTTTTTATAGAGAAGGAGTCTCACTGTGTTGCTGCTCTCGAACTCCTAGCCTCTCAAAAGTGGCCTCAAAGTGCTGGGGTGACTGGTGTGAGCCATTGCGTCCGGCCACATTTGTGCATCTCAAACACAGGTTTTGTTTTAAACGAAGTGGTCGTGTTGTACGTATTGTTGCTCAACCCAGGTCTTTCACCTCATTTCTGTGGCATACAGGAATTCTGCATAATTCTTACACTATGGGTGGAGGTGGCAAAATTTACTTCTTTGCTGCTGTGAACATTTCTGAAAAAAGAAAAATTCCTAGGTCATTATATAGTCGTGTGAGTGTCTTGTTTGGTTTAGATTCATAGGCTCAGCTGCAGGGTCTGAGATACGCCCGTCTGTCCTGTGGCCCCAAGCTCCGGTGATATCCTGGTGATGGGGTCCACCTGCGAGGGCGACGGGAAGGAGAGAACAACAGAGTAGCTTTGAGAGACTTCCAGGCTTCTTGTGTAAAGGATCTGGACATCTGGCCAAAACCAGTCCCAAGTTCGGAGTTGCAGTGTGTAGTCTGGCACTAACCCTAAAGTAAATAAACCCCAGTTACCAAAGAAATTCAGGAATCAGCCTTTTTTTTTTTGAGACAGAGTCTCACTTTGTCACCCAGGCTGGAGTGCATCGGCATGACCCCTGCTTACTGCAACCTCCGCCTCCTGGGTTCAAGCGATTCTCGTGCCTCAGCCTCCCAAGTAGCTAGGATTACAGGAGCCCGCCACCACGCCTGGGTAAATTTTGTGTTTTTAGCAGAGACAAGATCCCACCATGTTGGCCGGGATGGTCTTGAACTGCCCACCTCAGCCTCCCAAAGTGCTGGGACTACGGGCATGAGCCAGTGTGCCCAGCCTTCCACACATCCTTTACTTCGGAGGGCAGAGTGCTGAGCTTTTTCTGTCTTGTTGCAGGTGCTCCAGTGAACCACCCAGGGAACGATGACGAGGCGAGTGAGGACGAAGCCACAGTAAAGCGGCTTCGTCGGGAGGAGACGCATGTCTGTGAGAAATGCTGCGCGGAGTTCTTCAGCATCTCCGAGTTTCTGGAACATAAGAAAAATTGCACTAAAAATCCGCCTGTCCTCATCATGAATGACAGCGAGGGCCCGGTGCCTTCAGAAGACTTCCCTGGAGCGGTACTGAGCCAACAGTCCTCCAGTCCCAGCAGTAAGGACAGTCACAGGGAGAATGGTGGCATCTCAGGGGACATGAAGGAGAAGCCAGGTGCGGAGTCTGTGGTGTACCTAAAGACAGAGACAGCTCTGCCACCCACCCCCGAGGACATAAGCTATTTACCCAAAGGCAAAGTGGCCAACACTAACGTGACCTTGCAGGCACTACGGGGCACCAAGGTGGCGGTGAATCAGCGGAGCGCGGATGCCCTCCCTGCCCCTGTGCCCAGTGCCAACAGCATCCCGTGGGTCCTGGAGCAGATCTTGTGTCTGCAGCAGCAGCAGCTCCAGCAGATCCAGCTTACCGAGCAGATTCGTGTCCAGGTGAACATGTGGGCCTCCCATGCCCTCCACTCGAGCGGGACAGGGGCCGAAACGCTGAAGACCCTGAGCAGCCATGTGTCCCAGCAGGTCTCTGCAGCTGTGGCTCTGCTCAGCCAGAAAGCTGGAAGCCAAGGTCTGTCTCTGGATGCCTTGAAACAAGCCAAGCTACCTCACGCCAACATCCCTACTGCTACCAGCTCCCTGTCCCCAGGGCTGGCGCCCTTCGCTCTGAAGCCGGATGGGACCCGGGTGCTCCCGAACGTCATGTCCCGCCTCCCGAGCGCTTTGCTTCCTCAGGCCCCAGGCTCGGTGCTCTTCCAGAGCCCTTTCTCCACTATGGCGCTAGACACATCCAAGAAGGGGAAGGGGAAGCCCCCAAACGTCCCTGCGGTGGAGGTCAAACCCAAGGACGAGGCAGTCTTCTGCAAGCACAAGTGTAAGTACTGTAGCAAGGTTTTCGGGACTGATAGCTCCTTGCAGATCCACCTCCGCTCCCACACTGGAGAGAGACCCTTCGTGTGCTCTGTCTGTGGTCATCGCTTCACCACCAAGGGCAACCTCAAGGTGCACTTTCACCGACATCCCCAGGTGAAGGCAAACCCCCAGCTGTTTGCCGAGTTCCAGGACAAAGTGGCTGCAGGCAATGGCACCCCCTATGCGCTCTCCGTACCTGACCCCATAGATGAATCAAGTCTTTCCTTAGACAGCAAACCTGTCCTTGTAACCCCCTCCGTAGGGCTACCTCAGAATCTCTCTTCGGGGACTAATCCCAAGGACCTCTCGGGTGGCCTGTTGCCCAGTGACCTGCAGCCTGGGCCTTCTCCAGACAGTGAGGGTGGACCCATACTCCCTGGGGTGGGACCACACCATCATTCCCCAAGGGCTGGTGGCTTCCAAGGGAGTGGGACCCCCGAGCCAGGGTCAGAGACCCTGAAACTGCAGCAGCTGGTGGAGAACATTGACAAGGCCACCACCGATCCCAACGAATGTCTCATTTGCCACCGTGTCCTAAGCTGCCAGAGCTCCCTTAAGATGCATTACCGCACCCACACCGGGGAGAGACCATTCCAGTGTAAGATCTGTGGCCGAGCCTTTTCTACCAAAGGAAACCTGAAGACACACCTCGGGGTTCACCGAACCAACACGTCCATTAAGACACAGCATTCGTGCCCCATCTGCCAGAAGAAGTTCACCAACGCCGTGATGCTGCAGCAGCATATTCGCATGCACATGGGCGGTCAGATTCCCAACACGCCCCTGCCGGAGAATCCCTGTGACTTTACGGGTCCCGAGCCGACAACAGTGGGTGAGAATGGCAGCACCGGCGCCATCTGCCGTGACGACGCCATCGAAAGCATCAACGTAGACGAAGTTGGCTCCCAGGAGGCTCCCGGCAGCTCCTCAAAGGTCCCCACGCCTCTTCCCAGCATCCACTCGGCATCACCCACACTAGGGTTTGCCATGATGGCTTCCTTAGATGCCCCAGGGAGAGCGGGTCCTGCCCCTTGTAACCTGCAGCGCCAGAGCAGCAGAGAAAACGGTTCCGTGGAGAGCGACGGCTTGACCAACGACTCGTCCTCGCTGATGGGAGACCAGGAGTATCAGAGCCGGAGCCCAGATGTCCTGGAAACCACATCCTTCCAGGCACTTTCCCCGGCCAATAGTCAAGCCGAAAGCATCAAGTCAAAGTCTCCCGATGCAGGGAGCAAAGCAGAGAGCTCCGAGAACAGCCGCACTGAGATGGAAGGTGATAGAGCTTTGGATTTAACTTATGTCCATTTTGGGCTCAAGGTCATCAAAAAGGCACCTGGGCTGAACTTTACAAACGGAGAGTATGACTTGAAGTAGCCCTTCTAGAGGGCAATTAGCTTTTCTATACTTCTCGGTAGAGGGCAGTAGTAACTGCCTCTATTCTAGTAACTAACATGCTTTTTATTTATGGTGGTTAATGCAAAATGGGTATGGACAGCATACCTTTTTTACTGGTTTTTATTTTTGTCTTTGAGCCCGTTGGGACATAGGGGTAGTCTCGTTTTGTTTTGTTTTCGTTTTTTTCTTTTTTTTTTTTCTCTACACCATGATTCTGTAAGTCTTAAGAGTACGTTTGAGGAAGTGGGCGCTGTTTTTTGACCACTGAAATAAGCTACGGTTCCCTGACTGAGGCCCCACTGCCTGATACAATGCTCACAAAGAAACCACTCTTGAAGCAGGGAAAGATGAACTCATTTTAAATGCATGTATCTATTGAGATGTGACTGTTGATGTCATTAATGGCAAAATAAGGGAAAAGCTGTATCATAGAATCAAAGAAAGATGGTGTCTGGGCATATACCCGACAGGTACCTTCTTATGCAGAAATGTGTGTTTATAGGTTGCCCATACCTCTAAGAAAACGCAAAGTGATCTTTTCCCAAGTGTTAGAGGTTTTATTCTTTGTGCAGATAAACAATTCAAAGGAAGGTGTTAATTTCTGTTAAGGTGATTTTGAGGTGTTAATTTCTTAAAAGCCAGCTCCAGACTCTCAGACTAGCAGGCAGTTATCTTCAAAGGTCTTTCTTGTTTTGAAGAAAGGGTGAATGTTGGGTGATAAAGGTCTGGCCTTTTTTCCCTCTGTGTACTAGGTCGGAGCAGTCTCCCTTCCACGCTTATCCGAGCCCAGCCGACCTATGTCAAGGTTGAAATTCCTGGCACGTTTGTGGGACCCTCAGCCTTGTCCCCAGGGATGACCCCTTTGCTAGCAGCCCAGCCACGCCGACAGGCCAAGCAACATGGCTGCACACGGTGTGGGAAGAACTTCTCGTCCGCCAGCGCTCTTCAGATCCACGAGCGGACTCACACTGGAGAGAAGCCTTTTGTGTGCAACATTTGTGGGCGAGCTTTTACCACCAAAGGCAACTTGAAGGTGGGTTTGTGTGGGCTTCAGCAGGGCAGGGGCTGGGCGGAATGTCTTCTTCTTGGCACTCTCCATGATGAGTTCTTCATTAAGACCAGGTGGGGTGGCCAAGCACGGTGGCTCCTTCGTGTCATCCCAACACTTTGGGAGGCCGAGGTGGGAGGATCACTTGAGCCTCAGAGATGAAGGCTGCAGTGATCTGTGATCATGCCACTGCACTTCAGCCTAGAAAACAGAATGAGACCCTGTCTCTTAAAAAAATAATAATTTTTTTTTTTTTTTTTTTTTTTTTTTTTTGAGACGGAGTTTCACTCTTGTTACCCAGGCTGGAGTGCAGTGGCACGATCTCGGCTCACCGCAACCTCTGCCTCCTGGGTTCAGGCAATTCTCCTGCCTCAGCCTCCTGAGCAGCTGGGATTACAGGCACGCGCCACCATGCCCAGCTAATTTTTTGTACTTTTTTTCAGTAGACACGGGGTTTCACCATGTTGACCAGGATGGTCTCGATCTCTTGACCTCGTGATCCACCTGCCTCGTCCTCCCAAAGTGCTGGGATTACAGGCGTGAGCCACCGTGCCCGGCCTTTTTTTTTTTTTTTTTTTTTTTTAGACCAAATTTCATGCTGTTGCATGAACATGGTCAACATGGTGAAACCCCGTCTCTACTGAAAAAAAGTACAAAAAATTAGCTGGGCATGGTGGCGCGTGCCTGTAATCCCAGCTGCTCAGGAGGCTGAGGCAGGAGAATTACCTGAACCCAGGAGGCGGAGGTTGCGGTGAGCCGAGATCGCGCCATTGCACTCCAGCCTGGGTAACAAGAGGGAAACTCCGTCTCAAAAACAAACAAACAAACAACAAACAAAAACCCTGGGTAGAATGAAATCCATATGCAAACTGATTCTTGGATTGCCAGTGAGCTAGCAAATCTCTATTTCGATAAACACCTTTCTCTCCTGTTCCCGTAGGTTCACTACATGACACATGGAGCAAACAATAACTCGGCCCGCCGTGGAAGGAAGCTGGCCATCGAAAACACCATGGCTCTGTTAGGTACAGACGGAAAAAGAGTCTCGGAAATGTTTCCCAAGGAAATCCTGGCCCCTTCCGTGAACGTGGACCCTGTTGTGTGGAACCAGTATACCAGCATGCTCAACGGCGGTCTGGCCGTGAAGACCAATGAGATCTCTGTGATCCAGAGCGGCGGCGTTCCCACCCTCCCGGTTTCCTTGGGGGCCACCTCCGTGGTGAATAACGCCACTGTCTCCAAGATGGATGGCTCCCAATCAGGTATCAGTGCAGACGTGGAAAAACCAGGTACGAATGACAGCGTTCCCAAACACCAGTTTCCTCACTTTGTGGAAGAAAACAAGATTGCGGTCAGCTAAGCTAAAGGAGAACGTGCGTGGAAGGACAAGGGCAGACAGTGACATCTCTAGAATCTGCTTCGTTTCGTGAGAACTCATCTCCTCCTGTTTTCTTTTTCTTACTGATATGCAAATGATGTTTACCATGGTTGTGACCACAACCTCAGGCAAGTCCTACAATCACGATTGTTGCTATGCTGCTTTGCAAAAAATTAAAAAAAAAAAAAATTCATACCAAAACAAATAGACTTTTTTGTTTTTTGTTTTTTGAGGTGGAGTTTCGCTCCATCACCCAGGCTGGAATACAGTGGCGTGATCTCAGCTCACCACAACCTCCGCCTCCCCGGTTCAAGCCATTCTCCTTCCTCAGCTTTTGAATAGCTGGGATTATAGGCACATGGTACTATGCCCAGCTAATTTTTGTATTTTGAGTAGAGATGGGGGTTTCATTAAGTTGGCCAGGCTGGTCTTGTACTCCTGACCTCTTGATCCACCTGCCTTGGCTTCCCAAAGTGCTGGGATTACAACCATGCACCACTGTGCCCGGCACTTTTTTTTTTTTTTTTAAATGTTGGAAAGAAGCGGGTGTTGCAAAGTAGCTTTGTTACTCGTAACAGACGTATACGTAGAACTCTGTACAACCTAGAATGACTTTTTCCAAAGACTTAACCTATTTCAAGGTAGAACTGTTGGAACTTCCAACAGTGGAAAGACAACTACATAGCCTAATTAGGGGAGAGGGGTCTGTATTCTTCCTCTCTGTAACTCTATACTTCCATGGGACTGTACATGCGGGTAAAAGGACAAGGTCTGTCATCTCTTTAGGGACCTGTTTTCTATGCCCTAATCCTGTTCCCATCTTATCTTTTGGTTTTTTGTTTTGTTTTGTTTTTGTTTTTTTTTTGAATGTACTTAAAAAAGGAACAACAAAAAACTAAGGTTGTAGAATTATAAAATTGCTTCAACCTTAGAACCTTGAGTAGGATCCCCTCAAATGGACTTAACGTTAGTCCTTAGGGAGTCAATGTATGTGTTGCTGCTTATTTAAATACAGTTCAGTCGGAGCCCCGAGAGTGCCAATGTTTTCCCACACCTCTTAGATGCCTTCCTCTTCCTGAACCCCAGAAGAGGTGGGCGCCTGAGCGGGGAATCTCAGGTGACTTAACTTACTTTGCCAGTGCCTACTCTATTGAAGAACTGGGTTTTCATTCTCGAGAAGAGACTCGTGGAAGGGCGTGTTTCCTATCACAGGTTCACATGCTGATTTTTTGTTGGCGAATTTCCTTGGCGTGACTTCTGCCAGGTAATGATGAAGATTTTTTGCTTGTTTGTTTTCTTGCTGAATATTTCATGAAGGCTACGAAGTTAGCACAGGCAAGTCCTGGGTGTGAAAGCTTTAATTTATCTACCTCATTTATGTTTTATGTTCTGTAGCCATAGTGTATATTTTCCTATTTTAAGACCGCGGAAGTATTCCCAGGCCCTACCTAAAACCGAAGAGTTGATGTATTGGTGGGAAGAGCTGAACGTTCAAGATGATTTTGTGATGCCTTTTTTTTTTTTTTTTTTGTCTCCTTTTGTATATGTGCTATTGAGCAAATGAAACATTGCCCTTGGTTTAAAAAGAAAGGAGAAAGAGAAGAAAACTCTAACTTCTGGGAGAAAAAGTCCCCTCTATGTGGAAGGTCCTGATGGAAATGTGGACCCAAGACTCTTAGCCAAACTGTTGTCTGCTCATCGTTGCACCTGACTTTAGGATCCCCCAACACACACTTTTTTTTTTTTTTTTTTGCCAAGTTGTGCCTTTACTTCTGGAATTGTAAGTGAACACAATACTAGTACCTGTTTACACTGTGAAGTGGATATTGTTACAGAAAACACACCAGTGGCTTTCTTGACTGTTGAGTTAATAATGCCTTGTGAATGTATGATCTACGGAGAAACCCCTGTAGTTGTACCTGCTGATGCTGTCTGTCTGTTGGAAAATAAATTTTGAATGTTTTTGTTTTTTCCCACCAAGCGTATACGTAAGTTTTTCTGGTACTTTCTGCTCCATACCTGAGAATCTTTACTTAATCATTGTCAACTGTCTTGTGACGCTCTTCTTCTTGGAGTCAAAAAGATGTGCATTTAGTCATGTCCGTGCTTGCCTTAGTGTTTTGGTTTTTGGGTTTTGGGTTTTTATTGAGACGGAGTCTCTGTCACTCAGGCTGGAGTACAGTGTCGCGACCTTGGCTCACTCCAACCTCCGCCTCCTTGGTTCAAGTGATTCTCCTGCCTCAGCCTCCCAAGTAGCTGTGATTACAGGGGTGTATCACCACACTTAATTTTTTTATTGTTGGTAGAGACCGTTTCACCATGTTGGTCAGGCTGGTCTCAAACTCCTGACCTTGTGATCCATCTTCCTCAGCCTTCCAAAGTGCTGGGATTGCAGGTGTGAGCCACCGCACCTGGCCACTTTTCTTTTTTTCTTTTGTGTTTTTGAGACAGAGTCTCACTCTGTTACACAGGCTAGAATGTGGTGGCACAATCTCAGCTCACCGAGACCTTGGCCTCCCGGGTTCAAGCAATTCTGCCTCATCCTCCTGAGTAGCTAGGATTACAGGTGTGTGCCACCATTCCTGGCTAATTTTTTTGTGTGGAGACAGCGTTTCACCGTGGTCATCTGCTGATCTCTGACTCCTGACCTCGTGATCCACCTGCCTCAGGGCCTCAAAGTGTTGGGATCATTGGCGTGAACCACTGCACCCAGCCTTCTTTTCTTTTTTCTTTTCTTTTTTTTTTTTTTTTGAGACAGAGTTTCACTCTTGTTGCCCATGCAACAAGAGTGAAAGAGATCACTGGCGTGATCTCTGCTCATCACAGCCTCCTCTACCTCCCAGGTTCAGGTGATTGTCTTGCCTCAGACTCTTGAGTAGCTGGGATTACAAGCATGTGCTACCACGTGCAGCTAGCTAATTTTGTATTTTTGGTAGAGACAGGGTTTCTCCATGTTGGTCAGGCTGGTCTCAAACTCCCAACCTTAGGAAATCCGCCCGCCTCAGCCTCCCAAAATGTTGGCATTACCGGTGTGAGCCACTGCACCTGGCCTTTTTTTTTTTTAAGACGGGGTCTCACTCTGCCACTCAGGCTGGAGTGCAGTGGTGTGATCTCAGCTCACTGCAGTCTTGACCTCCCAGGCTCAAGTGATCCTCCTGCCTCAGCCTCCCAAAGTGCTGGGAATATAGGTGAGAGCCACCATGCTGTGCACAGCTTAAAATGAAGTTCTATTTTAAGCTACCATGCCCTGGCGCCAGGTATCGACAGTGCTTACCTGTTCTCCCTCTTGATACTAAACCCACAGCATTTTTGTTTTCTGAGACAGCTTCTTGCTCTTGTCACTCAGGCACGATCTTGGCTTACTGCAACCTCCATCTTCCAGGTTCAAGTGATTCTCCCACCTCAGCTTCCCTACTTGGGATTACAGGTGCCTGACACCTGTAATTTTTGTAATTTGAGCCCAGCTATTTTTTGTATTTTGAGTAGAAATGGGGTTTCACCATGTTGGGCAGGCTGGTCTCAAACTCCTGACCTCAAGTGATCTGCCTACCTCAGCCTCCCAATGTGCTGGGATTACAGATGTGAGCCACCATGCCTTACCTGTTTTCTCCTCTCACACATAATTTCAGAGATCTTCTCAAGGTAAAACCCAATTCTAGCTAATCCTTTAAAATAACTGCAATTATGTGACAATGATTTGGTCTAGTCATCAATTGCTTGCATTGCTGGTGTTTTCCCATAAACTTCTCTGTCACTCAAGTCTACAGTGCAGTGGCATGATCATAGCTGACTGTGGCCTTGAGCTCCTGGGCTCAAGTGATCCTCCCACCTCAGCCTGCAGAGCAGCAGGCACATGTCACCACTCCCACCTTTTTTTTTCTTTCTTCTTTTTTTTTTTTGCAGAGATGGCCTCAAATGGTCCACTGGCCTTGGCCTCCCAGAGTGCTGGGATTACAGGTGTGAGCCACTATGCCTAGCCCCATGAACTTGATTTTGATTGCCTTTGTGGTATTTCTTGAGTTCGTTTCCAGGGTAAATTCATGCTTGAGATAGGTAGGAAAAAGATTATCTGCTCTGTGTGTGTGTGTGTGTGTGTGTGTGTGTGTGTGTGTGTGTGTGTGTTGTGTGTAGTTGTGTGTCTACCACCGGCTGCTTTCTGACCTGGGTGAACTCCCTCTGTCGAGACTGAACCAAGAGAATCCACTTATCTAGAGTGGATATCCACCATTCTTCTCAGCCTTAATCTTTGAAGTCAATTTTTTTTTTTTTGAGGCGGAGTCTTGCTCTGTCCCCCAGGCTGGAGTACAGTGGGGTGATCTCGGCTCACTGCAACCTCCACCTCCCGGATTCAAGCAATTCTCCTGCCTCAGCCTCCCAAGTAGCTGGGACTATAGGCGTGTGCCACTGCACCTGGCTAATTTTTTATATTTTTAGTAGAGATGAGGTTTCACCTCATTAGCCAGAATGATCTCCATCTCCTGACCTTGTGATCCGCCCACCTCAGCCTCCCAAAGTGTTGCGATTATAGGCGTGAGCCACCGTGCCCGGCTGAAGTCGATTCTAAAGGGTAGATTGTGATCGCACCCTGCAGGTAGATTATGCCTGCACAGTGTGGTCATCACCTCATTTTGTCAGTTACTGACCATATATACAACAAGGGTCCCATGAGATTATAATACCAATTTTTACTGCACCTTTTCTGTGTTTGAATATGTTTATAGGCCGGGCGCAGTGGCTCATGCTTGTAATGCCAGCACTTCGAGAGACTGAGGCGGATGGATCACCTGAGGTCAGGAGTCTGAGACCAGCCTGACTAACATGGTGAAACAGAGTCTCTACTAAAAATACAAAAATTAGCCAGGCGTGATGATGCGCATCTGCAATCCCAGCTACTCAGGAGGGAATCACTTGAACCCAGGAGGCAGAGGTTGCAGTGAGCCAAGATTGCGACACTGTACTCCAGCCTGTGGGACAGAGTGAGACTCCATCTCAAAAAAAAACAAAAAACCAAAAAAACAGGCTGGGCTCGGTGGCTCATGTCTGTAATCCCAGCACATAGGGAGGCCGAGGTTGGGCGGATCATGAGGTCAGGAGTTCGAGACCAGCGGGGCCAATATGGTGAAACCCCATCTCTACTAAAAATGCAAAAATTAGCCAGGCGTAGTGGCGCATGCC